TTTGATGTTGTGGTGTGGAGATGCTCAATATCAACATGTAACTGCACGTTCGACAATTTCAAAAGGACAGCAGTCTCGGTCCAAACATGCCTTTGGAGACCTTAATCCCTTAAACACCCTAAACCCTCAAACACCCTAAAGCTTAAACCCGAAACCCTAAGCTTATGCCCCGTCCCTTCGCCTTGGAGCTCCCTATGCCGCGGTAAGTCTTAGGTGAAGGGTGCAGTGTCCGGGCGTCCAATACCTTTCGATTAGGGAATACATAAAGCAGGGCATGTGTTTTTCGATTTCTGGTGACCATATGCAATCGGAGCCAACTGAAGAGACATGACTTGAGTTCTTCCCTTTCCTCCTGTGGGTGTGGGTGGGTGGGGGTCTCACAAATCGATCAATTACATAGACCATTTGTAAGCTTAGATGGTATGGGCATGAGAGAAGAAATTTACATGGATTGAATAGGATTTTCCAGATATAGACATAAAGAGATGGATTATCATTCCTATGCAGCCTATGCAATGTTTCTGGGGTCTTCAGAAGGTCTTAGAAGGACACATAAGCTATTCATGGTGGAAGATTAGAAACGTTCAAATACCAAAATCTACCGCTCCCGGGATCGTGCCCCAAATTGGCCTATCCCTGTAACTGTCGGCAATGTTTTGAATCCTGTACACAGAGTCAGACTCCAAAAGTGACGACAGTCACGAAGATGGCGCCTTCCAGACACCCAATCACTGTGACAGTTGGCATTGTTGAGATGGCGAAGGGCTGAGATTCCGCGCGATCATTGCCACCAACCCCCTCACCCTCCCAGACCATACCATGGGGGGAGGCCAGGAACGCCAGACATCTGACCAGACATACACAGGCGTTTCCGAAGGAGTTCAGTGGGCCATGCTAACATGCAAAAGGGTACCACTGACCTCGCCAGCAGGCTCAACTGCTCTGTATCGTTTTGCTCCAAATGCTCAGTCCCAGCTCTATCACGGCTGGTTAAAAGGCACCTCAGGGCCTAGGTTGCAAAACCCAGGACCAATCGACGCATCATTTCCCCAATCCCCAAATTTGCCTAACAAGGTCTTGTGTAGGACCCTGTCACTAAAACCAATGAAGA